GATGTGAGGGGGTGGGGGGGGGGGGGGAACAAGCAATAAGAGAGTTGAATAGTATACAAAAAACACGAGATTTACGCCTCTATTTTTATTACTCATTTCTCGTTTGCAATAAAGCTGAGTCTCACCAAGCTGCTCGTGTTGCCTTGTATGATTTCTCTGACGCTCACAATCTGAGATTGGGGGTTCACCAGGGATCCGTATTTGATCCATTCAATTTCGAAATGAAGTGACATGGGGATCGTACAGCTCTGTGCATCCTGCAGACAACAGAGCGATGAACAACATTTGTACCTTATATATGTTATAATATATTGCAGAAACATTATTTATACATTACGGAGTAGTTACATCTACACCAGGCATGGCCAAACTACGGCCCGGGGACCAGATGCGGCCTGTTTGACTTTTTATTCCGGCCCTGCCAAACTTGTCCAATTTTTTGATTTTCATTATACTTCTGCGTTTTTCCCTGCAATGTCTGCATTTCCCCAATAGATGGCGTAGAAAAGGCTAAAAGCATTTTAGCATTTTAAACTTTGTTACATGTCATTTGTCTTTACGCTCCATCTATGTGCTCCTGACCCGGCCCGCCAGTCACATTTTCGGACCCATTGTGGCCCGTGGGTCAAAACGTTTGCCCACGCCTGATCCATACAGTCTACCGTTTTCTTACCCCAGGACTGAAACCATTTTTCAGTTGCACCCAGTCCAGTGGATTGTTCTGAGGTGAGTTTCCAAAGGAAGCCAGATATTCCGGGTAGTTTGGACCTCTTAATATATCCAGGAGCTGCTGGGAGACCAGTGAGCAGTTTGACACATCCGCAAGTCTGCGGAAGAACGTGACAAGTCAGCATCCCATATTCCCCCCCCCCCCCCCCAAAAACACAGTGATTGGTGCGTTGAGGTTTGATGCCTTAATACACAGCCGGACACAGCATCTTGACCGAACAGGATGGGGGAACGTCGATGCGGTCCTCTCAGGCAGTCCTGGTCCTCGGCGGTGGCCAGAAGAGACAGCGTTTCTCTAGGGTTCACGCTTCTGACAATTCCAGTGAAAATGGCTAAGGACAAATCATTTCTCAGAATGGATGGATTGATCAATCGATCGATCGACAACTGCTCTCAACTTTCGCTACCGATGTCTCTTTTTGCGCTCCACGCACGCAGCCATTCACAGACAGACATGCGCTACTAGCGTAACACACAGTAGCCTACCAGAAAAGTCATTGATCGCTAGCGGTATGAACTTCGTTAGCCCGTAAAAATCCATAAATTAGTCGCATTATTGTCAAAGACACAGGGTTCAAAGCGACCCACCCGAGGGTCGCGACCCAGTCTTTGGGAAACAATGAGATAGGACATTGCTTTACTTACATTACTTTGAGCGATTAAAACAACAAACGTTAATAATGTCTTTAGGAGTACTGTGCAAAAAAAAAAAAAAAAAAAGGATATTCTGATGTTTTCGATCCAGACACAAGGGGCAGTCCAACCACATAACCTGGATTTCCACTGAACCGGACAACATCTGGCAACACGTCCTGCTGTTTGACAGAACCAACAAACATTTGACATTTTTTTTTGTTTATATTTTAACTGATTCTTTCCATTCCCTTCTTTACCTGGATATAAGAAATATGAAACTCCTGTTTCAGGGGCAGTGACGACTCTTGGACAAATCCCAGCACTAAAGACACGGCGACGCTCCTTATCTCACCGGCTGAACTGTATTTGATCAAATACTCAGCCTGCGAAGGCAAACAAAAATGTAAATGTAGTAAATGATCAAACAAAAGATTTAAAAAATGAATTACAGACGTAATGTTTTTTACACGTTAAATGTACGGTTGTCTTTGGACCGACGGCTCACCTTCAGCACCACGTTTGCACACGTGTCTGCGTTCAAGAGAACCGGACTCAGACTTTCTCCTTGACTCATTTCCGACTCAGTCTGAGTCCCACTAACGGACTCAACTATGACTGCAGCTCGTACCGCTGGAACCACCTGCAGTGACACACACGCCGACTTTTTAAGGAGTTTTTGCACGGTTCCCATTTACACTACCAAGCTAATTCATGTACGCCACACGTCGATACATCATCTGGTTGAAGAGGAGATTCAGAATCATTTCAATCATTTCAGTCGACAAGTGGTTACTCATTACCCTTGTGAAAGGTGACCGTTTTACTTCATTCTTTGTGAGAATCGTGGTCCGTTTGCTAAATTCTCGTCTTTCCTGTTTTCACGTTGCGGCATTTAACCTCAAACTTCGAGTGTGAAGTTGCAAGCAGACACGCGTGTTCATGTGTCCTCCGGATTGCAAAAAAAAAAAAAAAAAGTCAGGTTCTTGCTTCATTTTTTGTTTAGGTAGAAGCTCAATAGAAGCAACAGTCAACAAGCACGAGAGACAAGGAAGAAAAAGACTTATCGCGACTTATACTCAGGTGGGACTTATATATTAAAATACATAATTAACGTAGAAAATATGAAATAATTGTGAAAATAAACGAACATGTACATTTTCAGTGGTACAGGAGTAGCAGATACCGGCACACAAGCCTAGAGTGCCCTCTAGCGGCTGTCAGTGTGAAAATAACAAATGTGAAATTATATAGTAGCCCCTCGCTATTTCGCGGTTTATCTTTCGCGGAGTCACGACTTGGCGGGTTTTTGAAACTGCATATATAAAATATACTGTATCCCGTATATTTTATTTATACATAGAATTGCTTCTTCTTATTAACTATTGATTACTAACTTAATACTTACTGCTGCGTCTTTATTTTTACCCTGCAAAGTAAAAAAAAAAGAAAAATAGTTAAGGTTTCGTACATGACTTTAAATCTTACGGAATTGCCAAAATAGTGACAAAATTGTTGCTGGTGACTGTGCGTAAGTGCAGAAGAGCGCAGAGACAACTTACAGAAAACAGCTGGATGTTACTGTACGTGTCCATGTTAAGGGCAGCCATGGACTCGCAGTCTTGCTCCATGACCACACGCCTGGAACACACTCGCCTCTCGTCTTTTAAAAAAGCTGTCCAGGCCAAAAGTCATATGATGAAAAAAAAACGTACGTACAGGTGAACAAGATTTGTGAAAGGTTCGTTACGTTTTTTTTTTGCCATAATTCATAATGCCTTCTGAAGGGTTCGTAAAGGGTTAACAGAAACGTAAATAATATAAAAACGACTGTGACAGACGAGGGACCACTGTGGTCGCTCTGTAGCAGCGCAGACTTTATTATAGGGCAATTGAATGCTTTTTAAGCTTCAACGTGGGACACAAAAAAAATGACTTGGTGGGCCAAAAATTGGGCTGCGGACCTCGCGTTTGTTCACTCCAAAACTACAGTACGAATAGTAGCTACCTGCAGGACTGGCTTCTACACATTCAGTCGTGACACCGGGAGCTGGCAGCGTGAACATCTTTCGTTCTCCACTTTGCCCTGCTGTCTCCATTTGATCGCCAAACTGAAACAAACAAAAAAAAAAAACAAAGTCCTTTTAATAATTAAGAAAAACAACATAATAATAAATAAAGATATTTAGAAATACCAAAGGTACCTGGTATCCGTTTGATTCATGTAGCATATCAGTAGCCATTTGGCCACTGTTTACCTCTGAGCCAAAAGCAAAGCTAGTAAATTTTTGAAATAGTGAATCAAAGTTGCTGTCAGTTGGAAGAGCTGGTGAGGGGTGAGACAATCCATCGAAACCTGTATGAAGACACATATAAACAAATGCAGATATAGGGAAGGTGGAAAGGTTTAACAGACAAATAATAGACCTCTCTGGATTTTGATGGTATATGTTCAGCTTTTTAATCCGGCCCGCCAAACTTTTTTAAATGATATAAATGATTTCTATTATCATTATACTTCTGCCTTTTCCCTGCAATACCCATGTTTCCCCAATAGATGGTGTAGAAAATGATAAAAGCATTTTAGCTTTTTTCCTTTATACATATATAACCTTTATATATGTATGTACAATACAATTTGATTATTGACGTGACGCCCGTAACTTACGGTTTTGGGACTGAATGCAGAACACATTGTTACTGGTCTCCTTCCTGACAGACGACTGTACCTCTGAGTGTCCATCTACGGTTGTGGCCAAAGAATAAGATGCGACAGCGGAGCTGCACAGCTGCTTGTTTCCACTGTAACACAAAGGATGTGGAGTGCTTATACAGAACAAAACCCAGCATTGAGGACATGCAATTCTAGTACTAATGCGGTCTATTTAAATGTCTTGATAGTAAAGCTTAATTCAAATCTGGTCATTAATACTGTATATGTAGTTTTGTGTAACACAGTCACACAAAACTATTATTATTGTTCATGAAAAAAATGGCAGATGATGTATCTCTAGCTGATTGTATCACAACAAGCCACTTATCGGTTCTCAGCCTACCATGTCAATCAGCACCGGCAACTAACCTGACGGTTTGCACTGTGCAGCTGGTGAACAAAGCCACTTCCTCTCCACAGTCCTCATCACAGCAGCAGTTTATGTCACACGCACTGCCTTGCACATCACAGGGACACAACCTGCCAACTAACACACAACACGAAGCTAGAAGTTAGAGAACGTCCCCGAATAGAATAGAATAGAAATATTTAATAGGAAATTTAAATAACATTGTAAATCATTTTTTTAAAAACAACCGAGGCTACTACTCTCTTTGTAACATTTGTAAACATGTTGCAGTAAATATTATGGTCTTGCTATAAAGTCTTTTTATTTAACGTGATGTAAACTACTAATTACCCCCGCCTCTGCCCGTTGACCCAGTAGATAATGGATGGATGAACTATGAATAGGAGCATCTCACCGTCAGTCACAGGTGTGAGGAGTTGACCGGACACAGGGAGCGGTAAGTCTCCTGCCGTTGGTTGGACGGGCTCCTCAGAATTTCCTGCAATTGTAGTCGGTACTGTATAGTCGGGTGTCGCTGTATTAGTGTCCGTAAAGTTATCTGTGACATTCTGGTCACCGGACGTTACATTGAAATTCGGGTCTGTTTGGTTTCCATCCGCATTCACAATACTGAAAGACAATAACGCACATATTAATAAAAACCAGGGAGCAGTTTCTCTGGTCGCCATGTTTGTTTAACAGTTGCTATGGTTCTCCTCTTTTTTTTTCCTTCTCATTTACGTTCTTGCTACGCCTAAAAAAATCTTTAGTGCCATCTAGTGTTCTGGATCAGAATACACTGGATGAAATCGGGTGTCCTGTTAACGCAGCCGACATAGCATGACCCATGTTTAAGTTACGAAGAGTAAAATATTTATTTGATATTTTTCTTCCTTAATAATATGTTTTTTTTATTTCTGTGCAGCCCGGGACCAAATGACCCACGAGGGGGTCTAGATTTCCCAGTCGACATCTTGTCAAGCTGAAGTCTAAAAGTTTAAAATAAAGCCAGTAGGTGGTAGTGTTGCAACACACGGCGTACAGATCTGCCAATAAGGCGACGAGAGAAGTGAGACTGAGGCCTACTCTTGCTAAAGATGTCTTCTCTGTAACATGAAAAGAACGTTTGAATACAGAATCACATTTATTCTTGTGTTATCATTTATGTAGAATTTTACTATCTCGAATTCATTCGTGCAGCGACAGAAACACAGGATGACTACAAAAATTAAAGGTGAGTAGTAATGTTATTATTGTGCTATTGCTAATGCTAACGCAAATGCTAAAGTATACACAAACTGTCAGTCGGTATTTTTAAATTACATATCCTTTGTTTAAACATAGATATATCGTTTGTTTTCATTTCGCAATCTATTTATAAAATGAATCTAAATATTTAATTTTCGAACAACATACTTTTGTATAATAACAGAAAATGCGTATTTATTAAAGGTCAGAACCAACTCCTGACAGGAATTAGCTTCTATTTAGTCAAAAACGTTGTGGACCAGTATGTGTCAGGAATTGTTTTTCATTGGCATTCTTTTTCTTTTTCTTTTGTTAATACAAAGGCTCAGATCAGACGAAGATACTTCAATTACCAAAACGTATTTGATTATTGAAAATTTTTAAGTTTTTAAGCAGAAATACATGGACACAACATGACAAACACAAACCTTAATAGTCTGTTGTCATCACTTCATCCGTATTTTGTCATTTCATAAATTTCAAAGCTTAGAAATCCGACAATGTCAATATAAATTACGTTTTGTCATTTTTTAAATAGAATATTAAATTTTCATATCTTTAACCATGATAAAACTTTAAAAAAAAAAGGATAACCACTTTATCACGAATCACTCACACCTTCAGGTTAAGTGTAATACTTTGTTCATGATGTTTTGTTATTCTAGTTGGAAAGGTCGGCTCCAAGAATAAGGAGGATGCTCCTTACGAATTGGAGAGCCAGTTTGTCCTCCGGCTACCCTCGGTGAGTTTCTATAGATATACAGTATCTATTCTTAACTGTGCATTACGGGCATCAGTGTTAGAACCTAAAGGCTGTTTCACTCGTGCTAAATTAATTTCATTTGCAGGAATATGCGTCCACAGTGAGGAGGATCGCTCAGTCTAGCAGCATGAACATGAAGGACAGACTCACCATTGAGCTGCACCGTAAGATGCATATTCTGTAAAATGGTGGCATTTAGATTTCATAGTGTGGGTTACTTTATGTGCTGAAGTTTATGTTGTAGTTAAATATTTGCAAGTGAAGCAGTTATTGACTGCTATTGACTTTTTCTTTGGTTCGTAGCTGATGGCCGTCATGGTATTGTTCGTGTGGACCGCGTACCATTGGCCTGTAAGCTGGTGGACCTGCCCTGTATGATCGAGTCTCTGAAAACTGTGGACAAGAAGACATTTTACAAAACTGCTGACGTCTGTCAGGTGGAGTTCAGTCACCGTTCTCGTGTTTTTCCTAGTTTGTTTAAGTGAATGGAGGGAAAAATAAGTTGTTGTTGTTGTTGTTGTTGTTGATGGTTTAGATGCTGGTGTGCTCGCTCGATGGGGACCTTTACCCTCCTTTAGAGGAGCCAACTGGCACAGACCCAAAGAGCAAGAAAAAGGACAAAGACAAGGACAAGAAGTTCGTCTGGAACCACGGCAGTAAGTGATCAAACCTAGAACCAGAGTGAAACTTGGATGAGGTTGTTTCGCAGGTAAAGATTTAAACGGCTAATCCAGTGATCCACTGCAGTGAGTGGATTTTAACACCTTAACTATTAGAAATATGTTAAATTACAGTTAGTTCAGTTTGTTATGATGGGTCACAGTTGCTTTGTGGCCTGCGACTGATGAGTGGATTTTAACACCTTAACTATTATTAAAATATGTCTCGTAGTGTCTTTATTTATGCGGATGTTTTTGTCGGTCAGTTACATGTCCTTTGAAGAACACGCGCAAGAGAAGATTTCGAAAGACAGCAAAAAAGAAGGTTTGGATTTTTTTTTTTTTCTAGGATGCTTTATCAATGTCGTGACTTCTTCCTCGTCCAACATCTCGTCTCATGAGCTTTCACCTTTTGTCCTGCTCCCTCCCTCCTCCTTACTCTCCTGTAGTACATAGAGTCCCCAGATGTGGAGAAGGAGGTGAAACGTTTGCTGAGCACAGATGCTGAGGCTGTCAGCGTTCGTATCCTTTACATCAAAGTTTACGGCACGGTTTGTGGCACCAGGATTGTCGTCGCTTTTGTTAGCTCTTAGTTTCTAAGTTCACATTTTTGTGATTTGCTTTGGTAAAACATTTTTTAAAAATCCTCAATTTAAGTAAATTATATTATTTCAGTTTCAAAAAGAAACAATTTCTTACTGGTTAATTTAATCTCACATCCAGGCGAAATATATTACGTGTTGAGGTACATCTTTTAAGATGATGTCCAGGCGAAATATATTACGTGTTGAGGTGCATTTTTTAAGATTATCTTTTTATCATATTACACACTTTTAATAATTCCAACAAGAATTGAATTCCTTAACCCCATGACCTTCAAGGATGGGAGATCATCGCAGAAGATGAGTCCAAGGAAACGGATCAACACGGATCCTTGGGAAACCAAGACTCCTCACCTGGAACCTCGGGGCACAAGATGGGTCACGGTTCCTTAGGTTTGTTACAGATGTACTTTGTTCATTTTGTACGGTAGAACAATAGTGGGACAAACCAAGGTGGTCCATCTGTTCTCTTACATCTATCATTCAGCAGCAAAGTACTTCTTTCTTTCCGCCACTGAAAGTCATTGAAACTCCCCACTGTTTCCAATCTGAAATTGCAGCACAGCGCGACGAGCTGAGGGAGATCTTCAATGATCTCAGCAGCTCCAGTGAAGACGAGGAGGACGATGGAGACCGACACGAGGATGAGGACCTCAACATCATGGACACGGAGGACGATCTGGTCCAACAGCTGCAGGACAAACTCAACCAGTCAGATTCTGCTCAACACGAGAGCGACGGGAACAGCCAGATAGGTGAGTTCGGTTTGCAGAAGTGTTCGCGAAAACGCGAACCGAAAAGCTGTGGTTGCGGAATGTGCCGTCTCAGTCAGTATTTTAAGTCTTTGTTACTGTGTGAATGTCTCCCTCAGTGATGGAGTATCAGGTTCAGATCAACAACGTTAAGACCAAACTGCAGGACACGCGGGCAAGAAAGAAACAGCAGGAGGAGCTAATTATGAAGGTGGAGAATCAGGCTCTGAAGGTAAACTGGGAAAACAGGTTTCAGGTCTGGTTTCAGAACTTTCTTCTAGAATCTTCTAGAACTTTGTTCCTGTTCTTTCATAGAACCGGTTCCAGGCGTTGTTAAATGAGATCATCCAACAGGAAGAACGTGAAATGGAGCAGGTGAAAAGCTTTTTATTTTAGTATACATATATATACATACATACAGTAAATATAGAGTATATATTCTTTTAATGTAATGTATATTGTTGACAATGTATCATATTTATAATAATTGTTTATAAATTATTATTTTACTGTTATGTTTTTTTTCTTAATTCATGAATTTGAATTGAATTTGCTTCCTTTTAAATCATCATTTGACTTACTCCCAGTGAAGGTCATTCCTAATCCAGTAGATTATGTTCATTTATAATCCAGTGGATTATATTTTTAATCTATAAAAAACTGAGGAAAATTCAAAAATTAAAATTCTAAAATTTTAACTCATTCATTAACTTAATTTTTTTTTTTTATTTCAACAGTTGGCATCTCTGCAAGAGCAGCTGGACTCGCTGATCGAGAAGTGACCACGAGAGGCCGTAGTGGCGTCACGTTCAAAGCACGTCGTCGCTGTTGTTATTGTCCATTTCCTTTGTATTTCTTCTCATTAGATTTTTTTTGTTTTCATAGGTGAATCATTTTGTTAGTTGTTTTCTTTATTACTAAATGTAAGTAATTCAAAAGCAAAGTGAAATGTTTAAACAGTTGCGTGTCCTTTCACTGATGTTGACAAATTCATCTTCATCAGATCAGCTCATCAACCAAATAAACAAAAAACCTCTCACCTTTTGTAAAAAACGTTTGCAGTTTTCGTTTCATTTTTTATCAGAAATTAGAGTGTATTATTATTAGGATTTTAGCAATGAACTGAACTTCGCCGCATCATGTGACTGTGAAGATGATGTCGGTGATCTCCAATCTCCTGGCCTTGTCTCGCAGAGGAAACGCCAATCACAGGAGCAGGTGAGAGATTAGCTCCTCAGATTAAGGTAGTCATCGCCAAATCCTGTAATCCTGCCATCTGTCACAGAGCAACAGACAAGACAAGAAAAGATTCTGCAGAGGGTGGAGAAGACAAACCTTATAGAATCTTCATCTTTTCACCTGAGCATGGAGGAGACATATCTGCTCAAACATCCAGGAGTCAAGAAGAAGATCCTGGCTGGAGGCCGAGGAACTCTTCCTCATTTTCCACCTGGAACAAAGGTAGTTTAATTCATCATGCAACTCTCTGTGTGTCAGCTAGGAAAAAAATATTTTTTATAGGATTAAATCTCCAGGTTTTTCCCCAGTCCAATTGTCTAATCATAAATCATAGTTAAACGTATTTCTGACTGGAATATTGTGCGGCCATAGCTAGTGTTTCATTTCCAGACTCTCCTGGATGACTTTGAGCGAACAGTGATTGATGACAGTCGACAAGTCGGCCAACCCGCTGAAATCTTTGTGGGGAAAATGTTCAAGTTGGAAGTTTGGGAGACGCTGCTGATGTCCATGAGGATTGGAGAGGTGGCGGAGTTCTGGTGCGACGACATTGTGAGTTAGGTTTCATTAAATTTGATAGGTAGAATAGAGTAAAACTGAAACAGTAGTTATATACTGTTACATGAATAACATTGCATATTATAAAAAAAAAAAATGACGTCCCTTTTCTCCCAGAAAGCTACAAAAATATAATTGTACACAAATCACACAAAATTTGTGTGATTTTTTTTTTGCAAAATAAAACGTTTTCAGTCCTAATTCTCAGTGAATACAAGAATAGGTTTAAGATATAGAAACATAAATATGCTTGCCTAAATAAAAGCTCAGGCTAGCTGCCTTTTTCTCCTCCCCGCCGTAAAGGTGCTCATTTAAAAAAAACAACAACAATGAAACTGGGTTTTTCTTGTTTTAAAAAAATAACATTGTTATTTTATGTAATATACAAATCACATAACAAGGGTGGTGCATGCAAGGAGGCGGATCACTGACAGTGTGGGTGTGGAGTCCTCCGACATGATGTTCGTTGCGTCTTTCATTAACTCGAGTGCTTTAGCTGTTTCCTCAGCATTTGAAATGGAAACGTTTTAGAGATGGGATTAATGGCTCTCTGGAGGGAGCCGGATCTTTGGGATCTGTTCATTTCAAAAGAGCCATTCAAAAGACCGGCTCATTTGGCTCATTTTTATATTTATTCACTTAATTCATTTTGTCCTGGAAATAATCACAGGGAGGAATGATGGGCGGAGATTTGGATCAGAATAAATTCAAACTCAGATTTCCCACCAATATTTGAGTTTGAATTATTCTGAAATACTGACTATAGTTTCATTTGACATGTTTGGACAAGGTTTTAAAGTCTGATATAGAGTCACTGTAAATATTCCACTGCCATAATCCCTCTGAGTTGACAGTGAGATCACTATTCATCACTATGTATACAGTGTTTGACTTATGTTATTCCTGCAACACCTAAACACAACGCTAAATACACAATAATAAACAAAGCAGGCTACAATGTTTACAAAGTTCCATGTAAAAGGCTTTTAGTGCAAAATCAGCTTTTAGTGCACAATCTCCACACAAGAACATTTTTAACAATACAAAAAAATGTGCATACAGCCCACTACTACTACTACTACAAACTGTACAATGGACTTATAAAACTATATACATTCGTACATATATACAAATACACAGAAATACAAATGCCTTACATTTACATATTTACATTTTACAATACATTTAGCAGTCTCTTTTCATCCAAAGACACAATTTGAGTCAGTCAGTCAGTCAACAGTCAAGCTTCAGTCAACACTCAATGTGAGTAACAATGTTTCAAACAGTTAAATAGCAATAAAGTGCAACAGTGGTAAACACCCCCTGCCCTTATAGACCCTCGCAACGGCTGAGGAACAACTCCCAACAAAACCCTAATAGGGAAAACAAAAGGGAGAAACCTCAGGGTGAAAGACAGAGGAGGGGATCCTCACCCAGGACGGGCAGGCGGGCAGTAGCAAAACAATGATTTCAATGATTAGTCAATCAACAATCCAGCTACAGTCAACATACAAAATACAAACAATAATAATAAATAGTAATAAATAATAATAAATAGTAAAAGTACAGTTATAGTCATAGTAGGTCCTTGACATTTTAAATGTGTGCATTTAACCAACCCTGAGAATAAAAAGGGTGTGGAGGTAGGTTACTGAGTGTAACTAGCTGTTACACCTTCCTGTCCAGTCCTCTGCAGCGGCCCAGGGTCCGCATGTGCAGAAGGACCTCTGGCACCGCGACTCTGGCGGAATACTGACTGACCCTCAAGATTCTCAGGTTCCTGGAACTCCATAAGGGCATGCTTGTGATGAACAGGCTCGGTTGGTTGTTCCCTGGCTTCTAGGAGGAAATCCGTAGCCACAAGCACCTGCTGAGGGAAAAAAGTAAATCAGGAGACATTGTTGTCTTAGCCACAATTCTTTGCATTTTGAATATTTATAGAATATTAATTAGTAACACTGTAGTGTTATTGATTGTCACCAGCACCAGATCTATTTTTTCCATGATGTCCCTGCAGTCCTCCAGGACTGTTTTTAATGGGGAAAAGTCAACAGTGACAACAGACTGGGGAATGCCAAAGGTTTTTCTTCTGTTGTCCTTCGTCCTATTCCTGGTTTCCCTGTGTTCTCTGAACAGCCTCAGAGCCACACATCCAGAAATCCTGTTCGTGTCTGGTCTTTGGACAGCCTGGCCGTGAATCATGAACAGTCTGCAAATAGATGACAAGATTTATATTGTAATTACATTACAAAACACAAATTTCAGTGACTGGTCAAAAGGATCCTGACAGGAGTGCAATCCCTTCGTCCTATTCCTGGTTTCCCTGTGTTCTCTGAACAGCCTCAGAGCCACACATCCAGAAATCCTGTTCGTGTCTGGTCTTTGGACAGCCTGGCCGTGAATCATGAACAGTCTGCAAATAGATGACAAGATTTATATTATAATTACATTACAAAACACAAATTTCAGTGACTGGTAATATCTCCGATATCTCGGAGATGGACAATGCTGTTATTGTCCGGTTGAGACCGAGAAGGTATCCTGCCAGGTCATCAACTGCCTCCCATCCTGGAATTCCTCTTCTTGTGTCACGCCGACTATCCTGTCAAATGACTAAGATGATTTCATATAAGAGATCCAAATTCAAGCAAACTGATTTAGGCACAGTGATCAAGACACCATAGTTTTGATGAACAAGCTGTTGCCACTTTACCCGGGTTGATGGGATCTGTCGAGGGTCCTGAAATGATGGACTATCAGGAGCATCAAGAGTCGATCCCTAAGAATTATTATTCATTAAGCGGGCTTGAGAGGGTTCTTGGCTGGGGAGGGAGGGTACTGGGTGCTGTTGAGCCTAACTGTTCAGCTGACTGAGAAAAACAGAAGCAGGTATATTTAAATTTTTTGAAAGAGACAATTCAAGCACAACAGCTAAATTTATTTTTTTTGAAAGTCTACAAAGTACACAAAATGCCATAATCAATTAAAACCACGTGAAAACCTAAGAAAGAAAAACACACCACAATGTGAAGATGAATGAGAGCAAGAGACCCGAGCTGTCTGTCAGGCGACAAATGAAACGAGTCTGCGAGAATTATTTTACAGTGTCGTGATCGTTATAGTCATGCAACAGTATTTCCTGCTCCACCGGAATGAAGCAAAATCTGTGCTCAGTTGAGACTTCATATGTAGTCGCTGTTTGCTCAGTGGTTTTATTTAAGGAATGAAACATAACCGGATCTCATTAAATGGCCTCTCCATTCTTCCCCCTTGCTCTCATTCTCTCACTCTTTCTCTCCCTAATTTCTGCCTAAGCTTGCCCATGTCCATGCCCATGGCTAGTCTATTTCCATGTATTTTATATCGTTGTCCATATCCATGACACTGTCTATATCAGGGGTTGGCAACCCAAAATGTTCTTAGCCATACTGGACCAAGAAAACAAATAAACAAAAAATCTGTCTGGAGCCACAAAAAAATTAAAAGCCTTATATAAACCTTATATGAGGGCAACACAGCTGTAGTTGTACATCTTACACTTACAGCTGTGTTATACACTGTGTATAAAACAACTATAGTGTGTTGCATTTATGAAATCAATGAACTGCTGACAGAATTTTGACAAAGAATTTTAATTCTGCATGTAACAAATACATTTTTGGCACATGGTTGATAGTCTGCAGGGGTCGACGTCATCTTCATCTTCACTGTAAGGGCGGGCATACACTTTACGACTTTAGTCCCGATCCCTAAGAATTATTATTCATTAAGAGCACTAAGAGGAAAATTAGTTGTGCACAAATTCCATGCTATACAAATATGAAATGCGTGCTTTGCGGGCTTGTGAGGGTTCTTGGCTGGGGAGGGATTTTCTGACACTCCGATTGGGTAGTGGACCCTGATCTCTGGTCTGTAGAAAATCTGTACTTACCCTTAGTGATGGGAAGACCGACTCTTCTTACTGGCTCGGATCCTTGACTCTCGAACAGTAAAATAAACCAGTCGTGAACGAATCATTTCATTCGTTTTAGAGCAGGTGGCGCTTTAGCCCTATTGTGGGCGCTGTAAAGAAGGCTGCGGACAGTAAACTGAAGGCAACATGGTTTGCTTCTACTGACAAAGTCTACAAAGTACACAAAATGCCATAAGCAATTAAAACCAAGTGAAAACCTGAAAGAAAGAAAAACACACCACAATGTGAAGATGAATGAGAGCAAAAGAGATCCGTGTCACGTGAATTTTTTAACGACTCTGTGAGAATATTATAGTCTAATATTACATTAATATAATGATAATTTTATATCATTATAGTCTAATATTATGTTACATACAGTCTAATATTAGTCATATTAGATCGGTGCAGGCAGAAAGATTAAATACACAAAAGAACACCGGTAATGGTAAATACCTGTATTGTGTAACCGATTTGGGAATGGAGACGGAGGATATTTCGACAGAAAGAAGGATGCTATGGCTTTCACGTATTGACCGTGCTAATTTCAACCCAGATCCAAGCAAAAGGCATTACAAAGTCTGTTCTGAACAATTCTTTTTCAGGTAATTACATAATATTTTTATGTAACTCATATGTTTAATTGTGACTTTTACATTAACACGCTGTATTATTGTGTTAATAAATACCGCAATATATACGTTGTCTGGCTAATTTTCAACTTTTTGAATAGCATGTCGCTAATAACCAGCGTTAGAGTTTTTAAATAAATCTTTATTGAACATTCTTAATAGAAAGGACAATCAGCAGGGGTAGACGTCATCTTCATGATTTTAGTCCGTTTTTGACCCGATTTCTGAGACGCACGACCTGGCGACGCTCGGCCCGATTTCCCGTTTCGTCGGGGCTGTTTTTCCGTGCAGTGTACAGGGTGTAACGATGGCCGATGATCGATGGACGGTCGGAAGAATTTCTGACATCAGAAATTTTGGTCGACCGACAAATTCCTTTGCAGGGTGGAAGCATAGTGATAGTAAGAATGATGCGGTGTTAGTGGTACTGTCCACAATAAACGTAATAAATAATAAATAAACAACAAACGTACTGTCCACGTTTATTGAGCCATCTCCGACTCCAGATGCGCCGACGCCTCTTCCTTTTCGAATTTTCAGCGCAGAGTATCGCAGCAATCATAATGGCGGCCTTCTTCATTTGGAATAGCACGTCGCTAATAACCGCCGCGGAGCTTTCAAATAAATCTTTGTTGAAAACTCTCAATAGAAAGGACAGTCTGCAGAGGTCGACGTCATCTTCCTCTTCACTGTAAGGGCGGGCATACACGACCCGATTTTTGAGACGCACGACCTGGCGACGCTCGGCCTGATTTCCCGTTTCGTCGTTCGTGTTTTTCCGTACAGGGTATAACGATGGCCGATTATCGATGGACGTTCGGAAGAATTTCTGACATCAGAAATTTTGGTCGGCCGACAAATTCCTTTGCACAGTGTAAGCAGAGCCCCGAGCGGACCACAGCATTTCTCCCTCAGTGCGCCTGCGCAAAGTGATAGTGATAATGCGCGGTGTCAGTGGCACTGTCCACAATAAACGTATTGTCCACGTTTATTGAGCCATCTCCGACTCCAGATGCGCCGACGCCTCTTCTTTTTCGAATTTTCAGTGCACAGTATCGCAGCAATCATAATGGCGGTCTTCTTCTTTTTGAATAGCATGTTGCTAATGACCGGCGTCGGAGCTTTCAAATAAATCTTTATTGAAAACTGTCAATAGAAAGGACAGTCTGCAGAGGTCGACGTCATCTTCCTCTTCACTGTAAGGGCGGGCATACACGACCCGATTTTTGAGACGCACGACCTGGCGACGCTCGGCCTGATTTCCCGTTTCGTCGTTCGTGTTTTTCCGTACAGGGTATAACGATGGCCGATTATCGATGGACGTTCGGAAGAATTTCTGACATCAGAAATTTTGGTCGGCCGACAAATTCCTTTGCACAGTGTAAGCAGAGCCCCGAGCGGACCACAGCATTTCTCCCTCAGTGCGCCTGCGCAAAGTGATAGTGATAATGCGCGGTGTCAGTGGCACTGTCCACAATAAACGTATTGTCCACGTTTATTGAGCCATCTCCGACTCCAGATGCGCCGACGCCTCTTCTTTTTCGAATTTTCAGTGCACAGTATCGCAGCAATCATAATGGCGGTCTTCTTCTTTTTGAATAGCATGTTGCTAATGACCGGCGTCGGAGCTTTCAAATAAATCTTTATTGAAAACTGTCAATAGAAAGGACAGTCTGCAGAGGTCGACGTCATCTTCCTCTTCACTGTAAGGGCGGGCATACACGACCCGATTTTTGAGACGCACGACCTGGCGACGCTCGGCCTGATTTCCCGTTTCGTCGTTCGTGTTTTTCCGTACAGGGTATAACGATGGCCGATTATCGATGGACGTTCGGAAGAATTTCTGACATCAGAAATTTTGGTCGGCCGACAAATTCCTTTGCACAGTGTAAGCAGAGCCCCGAGCGGACCACAGCATTTCTCCCTCAGTGCGCCTGCGCAAAGTGATAGTGATAATGCGCGGTGTCAGTGGCACTGTCCACAATAAACGTATTGTCCACGTTTATTGAGCCATCTCCGACTCCAGATGCGCCGACGCCTCTTCTTTTTCGAATTTTCAGTGCACAGTATCGCAGCAATCATAATGGCGGTCTTCTTCATTTTGAATAGCATGTTGCTAATAACCGGCGTCGGAGCTTTCAAATAAATCTTTATTGAAAACTCTCAATAGACAGGACAGTCTGCAGAGGTCGACGTGCCGTTTTCACCCGCACAGTGTGAGCTCTCTGGTCGTGTTCGATGATCGGACCGTACAGTGTGAATACATAAATCGTGAACTCCGTCCGTACATCACTCTTATCGTGTGTGATAAATCGTGAACTCCGTCCGTACATCACTCTTATCGTGTGTGATAAATCGTGAACTCCGTCCGTACATCACTCTTATCGTGTGTGATAAATCGTGAACTCCGTCCGTACATCACTCTTATCGTGTGTGATGGTATCAACGACAAGAGTTTCAGAAATCGTGCATTGTATGCCCCATAGTTCACGTGGGAGACCTGCTCACGTACAGTATGTATGTAGATCCGAAGATTGCCAAATACATGCCCCTCATGTTCATGTAAGTGTCGAGAATGGCAACCCATAGTTCGAACACGTTTGTCCGGTATAGAAAGGTTTTCAATATTACTTCATTTTCGATTCTTCGCAAGAACGGACCGGTCTCTTCAGCAGTGAAAGCAGATGACGTTCTGTTTTACTACAGGAACTTTCTTTTCCATGATATAAATTTGGCGCCACCTAAAGATATGTGGCGCCAAATTTCGAGCGCCAAAATTATGTTACAAGATTATCATCTTCAATTTATAATTATATTTAAAAAAGAACAAATAATAATAATAGAATAAAATATATATACAAATATAAATATAAAAATTTAATTAAATACTCGTTATTTTCCAAAGTCCAACAGAAGGACGAAAGAGCCATATGCGGCATGGAGGCGCGGGCTGGCAACCCATGGATCGTTGTTATCATCTATTTCCATGTCTTCTATATCATTGTTATCGTCTATTTCCATGTCTTCTATATCATTGTTATCGTCTATTTTCATGTCCCTGTCTTTGTCCATGTCTATGCCCATGTATGTAATCATGTTCCCATAGACATTGATATAATTAACATGGACATCCATTCCTTTAGCTAGAAGTTGTAATCACACTGACCTGTGTTGTGTCTCTGTGATAAGTCTCACTCGTGTCACCTTTTATAAACCTGGTATAAACGATACATACTAACTCCTCCCTTATTCAAGGAACTTCAAGGAAAGGTAAAACAGGTAAGGCAGTGGGAGTGCTGAATAGGTGACACACGAGCGGGAAAATGATCACAGACAATTATATTTTCTTCTCATGAACAAAAGACATAGGACAAATGAAAAAAAAAAAAGTTTGATTGTTATCGTCTATTTCCATGTCTTCTATATCATTGTTATCGTCTATTTCCATGTCTTCTATATCATTGTTATCGTCTATTTTCATGTCCCTGTCTTTGTCCATGCCTATGCCTATGTATGTAATCATGTCCCCATAGACATTGATATAATTAACATGGACATCCATTCCTTTAGCTAGAAGTTGTAATCACACTGACCTGTGTTGTGTCTCTGTGATAAGTCTCACTCGTGTCACCTTTTATAAACCTGGTATAAACGATACATACTAACTCCTCCCTTATTCAAGGAACTTCAAGGAAAGGTAAAACAGGTAAGGCAGTGGGAGTGCTGAATAGGTGACACACCTCTGTGAGGGGAAAGAGCGGGAAAATGATCACAGACGGTTATATTTGCTTCTCATGAACAAAAGACATAGGACAAATGAAAAAAAAAAAAGTTTGACGAAAAGACCCACGAACACTGGAATCATGTTAGACAATACGACATAATGATAATAATAATAAGAAGAAGAACAATAAAAAGTAAAAAATAAAGAAAAGTTGAACTCTCTGCGGAATAGTAAACCCTGAACAGAAAGTGAGGAGAGCCTTTCCACCATTGGTGCATTTCAATTTAAAAAAGACTTACACTAACTATATTAAGGACATCTCACCTACGAGCCAAGAGTTTCTTTAGTTTTTTTGGAGCTATCTGCTCCCATCTAGTGGAAGAGATTTGAATTGTTTTGTCTCACTTTCACATTGAGGAACACAAAAGAACATTTGTTAAAACAATTTATTTGCACTAAGCACAAAATACAACGCTGGGAGAAACGAGTGAGAATCCAAACTTATGCGAAATCTGGTGGAAGAAACGTCAGCGGATCACAGCCAATCTCAGCTTTTTAATGTGGTTCAAGTTTTATTCGCTTCTGTTTCCATGCATTGCTTGTTATTGTTTTTGTTATCGGCTACGTTTTCATGACAAGGAAAATAATGTACAACCAATGTTTTTCTTTCTCGTACTAGAAGTGAAATAATCTTTTTTTTTTTTATTTTATTTTCATCAACATTTTTAGCACACTGGTTTGTATCCCATCGTGTCCAAAGGCATGAGGTTAATAGCTGAAGGAAAAGACCCCTTGGAGGGTCAGAGACACATGTGTGGAATGGGAAACCTCTTTCATTATCATTCAACTGGATTCTCTGATCTGGATGAGCTGATGAAAAATCCTCAACCACTCATCTTCATCATGGAGCTGCTGCAGGTAAAAACAAAAAAAAACAAAGTTAGACAGTTGTACTTGCTAGAAAAAAAAAATCTCATAACATATAATCACTTTATATCCAAAGCTTACACTTGAAAATGCACACGGTTGCGGTCTATCTGAAGGAAGATTCTACATCTAGAGCAGTACAGGACCAAAAAAAAAAAAAGAAGAAAAAAAAAACCAATAATTCTATATTTTGTGCATTGAATGTTGGTTGTTTTTTTTCCTCCAGGTCGGAGATCCAATGTCCTACCACAGAGAGTCGTGGATGATGGAGAAGGATGAGAAGCTAACGACGGTACCGCTTCTTCACATGCAGGGAAACGCTCTGGTCAGACAGAGGCAGTTCAGAGAAGCGGCCAGTAAATACAAGGAGGCAGTTCTGCTGCTGAAAACGGTCCAGTCCAGAGTGAGTCCTGACCAAATAGGAGTCAACTGTAAATACATAAATCGAATGATCACAACCGAAAATATAAAATGCGATTGCAATGTGGCTTTAACTTTTATTGAAGATGTATGTATTTCTTTATTTTTCTCTCAACAATTTCTTATTATTGGGTTTTTTTTCTTTATGCATTGGAACACAACTAAATAAATTGACAATAACAAACTCTTTAGGCCGCATAGGAGCACAGGCTCTTACTAATGATCCTTCTTTATGGAGTTGAACGAGTTTTTTGTTGCACCCCAGCTTGCTCAGCAAAAAAAAAACACATCCAAATTGGAGATTTAGGTTAATTTTTAACCCTAAATTAACCATAGATATGAGTGTGAATGGCTCTTGGTCACCACATGTGGAATTATCCGTGGTGTACTTCACCTTTTTAGGACTGATTTCAGAGTTTTATTGAGTTACAATAAAATGCCTGCTCCTAAAAAAAAAAGAGAAAAAATTCTGTGTCTCAATATTAAGACCCTTCTCTTTTTTCTTCACGTGTTCAGGAGATGCCTGGTGATGTTGACTACATCAGCCTCGGTCGGATGATTGTTCCTCTGCAGCTGAATTACTGCCAGTGTTTGTTGGAGCTGGAGGAGTATTATGAGGTGGTGGAGGTCACCACTGAGCTGCTACACAAACACAAAGGTGAGGATTTTCAACCTGTTTCGAAGCTAAAAGCTCGACTTTGAGAGGCGGAGTTATTGATTTAGTAAGATGATAAGAAGATAACAGTATGTGAATTCTTGGTGGTACAGGAGTAGCAGATACTGGTACACAAGCCTAGAGTGCCCTCTTGTGGCTGTTAGAGTGAAGATAACAAACGTGAAATTATATATTTTAGGTATATATATTTTATATATTTAAGTCGCACTTGAGTATAAGTCGCAAACCCAGCCAAAGGATGAAAAAAAAAGTGCGACTTATTGTCAGGAAAATATGGTAGTTGTTGTTGTGTTACAGTAGTAGAATAATAGATGTTTGTTCAGTGTCATTTTTTTAAACGTCTGCCTCTTGTAATTGTGTTTCTGAGACAACCCTGAGCCCCTGTTGTCTTTTATGTGGTTTCTCCTACCTCAGACTGCGTAAAAGCTTATTACAAAAGGGCTAAAGCTCATGCTGCTGTGTGGAACGAAAAAGAAGCGCGTCAGGATTTCAACATGGTGGCTCAGCTGGATATCACTTTGGCCTCTCTGGTCAGGAAGGAGCTGAAGTTGTTGTCAGAGCGAATGAAAGAGAAATACTGGGAGGAGAAGGAACAATTCTGGAACAAACTGGAGAGGAAGGGCAGCAGACCTGATGATGAGGAGGAAGGTGAAGGAGGTGATGAAGCTGCGGATGAAGGAACGATCAGAGAAACACGAGTTGAGTCTTCGAAAACAGAGGGAAAAGACTGGCAGCAGATGCTGAGACTGGTGATGATTCTTCAAAAAGAGGGAAACTTCCTCATCAAAGAAAAACAATTCCAAGAGGCTTCTGAGAAATTTGGTGAAGCCTTAGAATATGTGGAGTTTCTTCAGAAAAAGGTATTACCATCAACAACACAGGGTTAATTCAGTGGTTCTTAATTTTTTTCTGTCATGTCCCCCCCTTGTGGACAGAATTATTGCCATTGCAGGGGAGTGTGGCTGGAATGAATGAAGTAAACATAACGAAGCATACTGTCCAAGACACTGGCAAAAAAACTGATTGGTTGAAGGTGGTGTAAAATGATATGTAAAAAATTAAAACATCTGATGATAATAATAATAACAATAATAATAATATTGCAGGAGGCCTTTATTTTTAATCAAATTAATCTGTGAAAATACCTCGTAGGTGCCAATAAAGAAGTTGCTACTACTGATAAAAATAAAATTATTTTGACACATCGTTCAAACGTCCTTATATGTAAATCATATTTTAATCCTTATCCAAATGAAACCATCCAAATTCATCTGTGTCTCGGCTTCACTTTCGCCTCGCTTTCTCTTTATTTGTAACCTTCTCTTCAGACCTCTTTAGCACTTCCTTTTCTCTCACACAGCCATCTGCGTACCCTCTTTTCTGTGTCCTCCACCTGAATCCATATGTGTCATCACTCTCTACAGCACGATCATGTCATCTGTCTGTGTCTTCCCTCTGCGTTCCCACAGGCAGGTGAGCAGGGAGAAGACTGGGAGTCTCTGGAGAAAGTAGGTCTTCCTCTGATATTGAACCTCAGTCAGTGTAAACTGGAGATGAAGGAGAACCAGGAGGTGGTGGAGCTGATGAACAAAGTGCTTAGGAAACACAAAGGTTTGTGTTTATCATCACTGAGTTTGAGAGTCATACTTTTTATGCTCTTTTCTTTCCTCCTAAATGTAGTTTTGGTTCCATTTTCATCTCCCTAGTATTTCTGATCTGTATCATTTCCTTTTGTTTCTACATTATTTTTTTTTTTCTGTAGGAAACTTAAAGGCCTTGTATCAGCGAGCACAAGCTCATGCTGCCCTGTGCCACCAAGATGAAGCTCGTCGTGACTTTGAAAGGTTGGAGAAATTGGATCCAAAGTTCAAACCTCTGGTCCGTCAGGAGCTCAAGTCATTAGGAGAGCGCGTTCGCTCGATGCACACCAGCCAAAAAAAGACATACTGGGATCTGACACAGGACAGATGGGGACCCGGAGGAAGCAAAACTAATGCTGAAGCCAAAAATGAGACAAAACAAAATGAGGTGGATGAAAATGCAGAAGAGAAAATGATCACAGAAGGAGAAAAGGCAAAGAATCAGACTGGTGCCGAAGATGAATCTGAGGAAGAGAAAATCAAAGATTGTGGAGAAAAGCAGGATGAGAAAGTATAAAACATTATATATATATAACATAATACAAAACATAAATTCATACATACAAAAAACATTGCAAGACAAAGCAGTCTATTAGAATGTTATGTCCAATTTATTCATTTCTGATGATAACATAAATGGAAGATACATGGAAGATATACCAGAAAAAAAAAAAAACAATGTAAACAACAAAAACACGTAAACAAAGAAAATCCAAGGGAACATAATTGATTGAACAGAAACGAAAATGTGAATATTTCAACATTTTTATCTCACACAATCAATTAGGAGTAATGTTAGTTTGTTATTTAAATATATATAATTAATAGAGATACGGTGTGATGGTTTTAAATAATGACGTGGAGTGACAGAGATGTTAAACTGTAACATTGACAGAAAGGCGCCTATAATATGTATAGAAATAAAATGTATTATTATTATTATTTTTATTTTTTTTTTTGTCTTAACAATTAAAAGCAAAAAAAATCTGTTGTTCGGTCTCCTCACTGTTTCCAGAAAAAAAAGTTTAACATATCCTAAATAAAAAGTTTCCTTTTGTGGCAGTAGAGAGCAGCATTACGACGGCCACCGTCCGGCATACCGGAAACGCGTCCGAATCAGAAGAAGGAAGTGTCACTGCTTTGCCGGAAATTAAGTCAAACTGAAGTTGATGTCAAACTGAGGCTCAGTAAGGAACCGTTTCTGCCGATAAATATGTAACCTGCTGCTGACAGTGACCGTAACGAAGCGGCAGTTGTTTATCTGGAGACTGGCGACAAAGGGACGTTCACTGACCGGAAGGGATAGAGGTTTCCGTTTAAGGAAGTCAGTTGAGAACGAGCTAAGAGGCTAACGGGCGTTAGCAGCGGCTGAGGGGCCACCGCTGGTGTAGCTTCACCAGGTGGAGGTCAGTGGAAAGTAAACGGCTTTTCCATAACTCTAGTAAACTGTCCTTTGGAATGGATTCATCCTTGGGGATAAAAGAAGAGCAGTGCTTGGCGATATCCTTTTCATGTTCAGCATATTTATGAATATGTTTTGATTTTGCTTTGCTTCATCTTCTCATCTAGTCTAATCATTGTTTAACTTTTGCCAAGATTTCTTTAAATTCAAGCCGGAAACGATGCCAAAGTAATCCTCCAAGTCATTCCCACTACACGAGTATGATTTATTTCACTGTCTTTTTTTCTTTAACACACGGGGTTGATATTTGGTAGAAATATTTATTGTGAGAAATAGAAATTGTGGCTACTGAGGGTGCAACCCCTGTTATAAATCTAAAAGGAATTAATAGATTAGAATTTAGCTCATGTTAGAGCTCTTCATATAGCTGTTTTTTTGTTTTTGTTTTATTATATCATTGTTCCAGTGTAGTAGATTATCATTTTATGATCTGTATAGATAAGAATGTTGGTGTCATAAATTCATATTTATTGGTTTTTCAATGATCTGGAAAGACTGGAAAATAGATCAACAATTAAGTAAACATGGAAAATTTAAATTTATTCCTCCTCCATGGATTTCCTGCATTATGAGTGAACGCAAACGAGTTAAAGGTTGCGATGCACTTGGAGACATCTCCAGCGACACTCCTGAGATCATCGTTGTTTCAGGTCTGGCTCTTGTCTGTGTCCCAGCAGCACAGACCCGCAATGTTTATCCTCCTAAGCCAAAGTCGTCTACTGGCTTTTTCAGCTTCTTCCATTGCAGCCTTGATGGCTACTTTATCACCTAGCTGTGATTCCCGACTGTGCATAGGTCTTATAAAGTGAGTGTGCAGCCAACTCTCTGCAGACCACTTCAACCGGTTCACAGTGAAACCATTAAGCCTGCCACCCTGCAGTGTTTCACCAGCTCATGGTGCCACGAACTGTGAGTTTAATTTGAAGCACGTGTTCTTTGAAGGCAGAGAGAAGCATCGACGTGTTACAGTGTGATTTTGAAACCTGAGCTGCCTGCCAAGATCTACTATCAGCACCCAGTCAATAGCAGCATAGAGGATGGGACTGATTTTCTACTTTACTTTGACAAAGAAGATGCTTCTCTGGTGGCAGGCTTGCTGTGTTTTGTTTATTGTGCCGGAGGTGGTCGTGTCTCCAGCAGTAGTATCGCTCCCCTATCTCGATCAACCATCGGACAGTTGTTCAAGAAGTGCTTTGTAGTCCAGCTATGGGTACAGCCAACTCGAGGGCGATGGAGCTTGTTGTTTCCAAGCCCTCTGAAGGTAGCTGTTGACCTTCCTTTTCATGGTTTCCACTGTTGACATTACCTCATACGCCAGTAGTGGAAACAGGATGCAAGATAAGATGCCATGTTGGTAAGTCTAAGGGTCATCTCCATGATATTGGCTTTGATGGCTGCTGTGTCTCTGAGGATACCGTTGATGACCTTGCTGACAAGGCCATCTCTGAGGATACCGTTGATGACCTTGCCAAGGGTGCTGACAAGGCCGTAAGCAGTGTGTGGGGACGGTGCCATCACAGCGGTAACTGGGACTGGTGGTTTTGAACCTGCAACCTTCTGGACTCAAGTCCGCTTGCCCCACTAGCAAAGTTTGAACTTTTCTGGGTTAAAACTCATCAGTGCCCAGGATAGCAGTTTGTTCCAGGTATTGCGAGTGACGTTATCCATTAAGGCTGTTAAACAGAGGAGTTACATACTGTCTGTTTTTACGTAATTTTTGAACCAGTCACGAGTTTTGTTTTTTTGTTTTTACTCTTTTAGTGTTTAAGTTTTTTCACTAAATCACTAAATCTTGTTTTTTTTTTTGACGAAAATTTTTTTACCAAAATCTTTTTTTTTTGTTTTGTTTTTTTCCGAGTTTGATGAAAAATTTTTTACCGATGTGTTTTGTGAGAGTCTTTGTCCTCCTCAATACTTATGTTTCCTTGATTGTTCTTCTCACACTGTGAGAGGGCAGGAGCTGAGGTCAGGTCAAAAAGAGCCCAGGCTGCTGTCACTCATCGAACGCAGTGGAGAGTTTTTGTAAGTATCAAACAGCAACTAAAAAGAAAAAACAATCTTTACTTTGACAGCGGGACAGCAGGGTTGTCTTTCTCTCCGTCTCTCACCTGTTGTTTCTTGGTTACTTCCTTAGTCTGTTTGATGGCCTGATTAGTTAAGAACACCTACGCTTTTCTTGTGTTTCTACTTAAACTCTCATTTCAGAAATGTTGGTTCACCCTGTGGAAATAATATGTATTAGGACTAATTAATTATAAAGTTCTTTTAATAGTTTTTACTGACAAACTTTTGATTAAATAAAAAAAAAGGTCCCCAACCTTTTTTGTACCAAGGACCAGTTGTCGAATTATCATAAAGGACCATTAAATTTTCTAGATAACATTTTTTTTCTGTTAGTATTGCGGTTTCAATGACATTATTTTTTAAATATGGGCAAATCTTTAAATGAAGAAAGTAAATAGTGAGTGGATTCTCTTTCAATGAAGTCAATTAGTAAAAATAAAATACATTTTTTCCCATTAGGGACTATTACCTGTCCACGGACCGGGGTTTGGGGATCCAAAAAAATTACAGTTTTCTTTCTTAACTTATTTACTCGGTGGGCAACGTATAAACTGAAATTGCTGTATTTGTCAGATCTAGTTGTCAGATGGGTATGATCTCATGTATTAGCGCCTACTGAATCTAGGTCTCAGTACAGATTGAGTTACAAAGAAATGAATTAATTTTTCCTGAGGTTGTGTGAAAGGTTTGTTTTTTGTTTTTTTTTCAAACTTTTATCAACCTCTGAATCGTTCCTGATTGTTTTTTTCAATATGTTTCAGATGTGTTAGGTGAATTTAATTGATGATTGGAAATGTTTTGTGATGGGGACCAATGGGGTTCGGTAGATGTTTGTGTTTTTGTGGTCAGTTTAAGAAAGATTTTCATAACTGCAGAGCTGGTAGTTTTTAGCCTCTTCGCTCCAGTTTCTTTCAAGGAGACAGTAGACAATAGATTGATAAAATAATAACAATATCAATAAAAAAAAAACATGTGTTGCCTGGGACATTCGAAACTTGCGTAAAATTGACCTAAAAAATCTGAAGTCTATTATTGCTTCAACTACGGCAAAGAGAACATCTCCCATCGTCAACAACTTGTGATGTAGTTGCTCACATGATTGCTGGAACAGCTCTGTGATTCGCATGTGACCCGGATGACAATTCGCAGTTTAACACCCATTGTTACAACGGCAAAGCTTTTGTGAATGAGAGATGAACATCTATCAGATGACAAGATGGTCGAGACGCAGGAGATAGTTGAACTTTGACTTGTTTTGTTTTCTGTCATGGATTTATGTGTGTTGTGTTACGGGATTCGTCTCGAATGTGACATGTCTTGTCGTAAATCGTAACTAATGACTGGTTACACCATTAGCGTCGGTTTGGTTCGTGAAACGGGTTGCGGTTATTCCTAGAGCTCACAGCTCCTCTGCTCAGTTTTAGATGGTGATGCGATTCACGTGGACAAAGGCTTCAGCTCATAGTGTCGTGTCGTGTAAGGACCTGGGGGCAAACTCAGAGCATCTCTGATAGAGGACGATCAGCAAATATGTCATGAATGGGCTAGTGTTTTTATCCTGTGGTCTAAGATACGTATATTAGTCCTTGAAATAAAAACTGCTGCTGCATAATCTTACGTAAAAAAAAAAAAAAAAATCCAACATAGAAGTAAAGAGGCATCAGTCACAAATAATGGATAACTACATAGTCAACATCCATTTTTGATGTTTTCTAAGCCTGAATTATCTTTGTCTCCTACATCATGTTTGCAGTTTAGCACTGTGACGTTTTAGTCTCACTGTAGGTAAACGTTTTGCCAAATAGCCCTAATGCTGAGTTCACCTTGGTTTGACATTGTAATTGGTTAATCTACACAAGCGAGAGGGCGGAGGCATTTACGCGACGATGCGCTACTACTGATAGGAACTGGTAGCACAATCTAACTAAAATGTGTTTTTCTTGTTTAGGTGAAGGCTGTTAAAATAAAATAAAAAGTATTATTTTTTGACTTGGAGATAAATAAATGAGCTGTTCTATTTCTTTAGCTGCTGCTTTTGCTTTTCCTTTCCTATTCATTCGAAGCTCTTATCAAGGCCCAACAGCCTGACCCTTCTCTGCCAAATGCTTTGAAGTTGTGATGTTGATGACTCACTCGTGGTTAATAAACCATGGTCCTCTTAAATGATAAACTGCTAGTACCAAGGTCCACCGCGGGGATTCGCCGATTGAGATCTGGAAAAGATCCATGAGACACTTTTTGACTTTTCGTTTTTTTTTTTAAAGAACAATTGTTTTTCAGGCTGGACGTGGATACTGGTGCGTCTGGTGCTGGTGGCATTTACCTCCAGGATGATGCCCTACCACATTAATTTATTTTTTTATCCCCGCTAAGGTCAGAAATCTGTCTGTTGCCCGCTCTGTACTACGAAGTACAAACCCCTCTTTGCGCTCATGCAGCTCTGTTGTGCAGTGATGAGAAGCCATTGCTTGTGATATCTGAAAGGAACAGGAAGTGTAGTTAAGGAGTGGTGCATTTGATATTTATAGTGGTAGGGATTGTAATATGAGATGATCTGAGCTTTGACAGTAGAATCGCAGATTTGCTGCTCTGTATTCTTCAGTGAAATGTAAGGTTACATGAATACATGAATAGTATTTTATATACCAGGATTGAGTGTCAAATGGGGCCACATGTCCAGGGTGTGCCCTGCATTTGCCCATTGACAGCTGGGATTGGCTCCAGCACATCCCTGCAAAGGAATAAGGGGTGTGTGGATGTGTGTTTGATTGTTTGTTTGTTTGTTTGGAATTGACTTATATGGCAGGAGCCAAGACGTTAAAAGTCCTGTAGTTGTTTGGCTCCACTACCCAGTACTTCCTGTTACATAGGTAGGACTATCAGGGTGAACTTTAAAAAAAACCTTGTCAACAAACAAGGAAAAGTCTGAGGTTCGACTCAGCGGTTTATTTTTTTTCTGAATATTTTCTGAATATATTTTCTAATATTATTGTAAGTTAGTTAAAACTCAGAGTTGAATAATGTTTTAATTTTCTTTTTTTTTTTTTTTTTAAATTGTTTCAGGTTGTGCGTGTTGGCGACTCCTGATGCTGTTGTGTCTCGTCCAGTGGCTCAGCTCTCCATTCCAATCAATAGCAGCTTTGAAATCATACGAGGTATGTGACAGTTTTCTCCCTGCAATGGCTTGTATTTAATAAACTGCTTCACAGTTGGCGCTGTATATTTTCGTAGCGACGATTTCTTATTTAGAAATGTTTTTTTTTCCCCAGATGTAAGTCTACAGGTAATGACTCGAGTTTGCCAAAAAGCAAACAGTTTTGTTAAACTGAGCCAATTTAAACAGTTCAAATTATGAATATGAAAAAGAGATGAAGGCTGTGGAAATAATTTATGACGCCTGAGCTTTATGGCCGTAGAAGACTCTGTCCTGGTTTGAGAGTGTTCTTCCTCTGATTTCAGATGCTGAAGAGGCTCTTCTCATCAACTTCTCCGTAGATGGTAGGTAAACCACAATGAGATTTCCGAAAACAAAGCCTTTGTCAGAAAGTGTGCAGCGGTTTTTCGGGACGTCTGTTGTTGAGGAAAATCCCAAGAAGTGTCACGCGTTTGTGTCTTTCCGGGTGACTCTGCAGCTTTTGTCAGGATTCGAATCAAGGGTGAAAAATCTCCCGTGCTGCTGCTGGAGCTGCTTGACGATGAGCGCAGTCAGACCTTCCTGGCTCAGGTGAAAAGTGCGCAGGAACAAGGTGAGACTCCCATGTCCACGATGTTTAAATATTTATTCTGTGATGTAATATTTATTTAGAGGCGGAATTACACTGCACAATCTTTTCTTCTGTCTCTAAAGAAAAGACTTAGACAATACCTAATTTTCCAGTGGACTAGTCTTTAAACCCAGCTGTTCTGTTACCAATCAAATCACTAATACCTGTATTTCTTAATTGTTTGAATTTCCATTGCGGTGCCTGGTGCCAACTGCCATAAAAACAGAAGAAAAAGAAACCCTCCTCCTGTGTCTTTTAGCTCAAGTTGTTGTCTGCCTTTTATCTTTAGAGTAGAATCAAAGGGAATCAGCGAGCACAGCGCTCTTCCTGCCACGTAACAACGTTTCTTCAAAACAGCCCATGGGGGGCCTTGTCTCTGGTTACTTGTGTTTACAGCTACATCCAAAGCAGCGAAACTAAGAGTGATGGCGGCTCCAACACCTCAGAGAACTCCGGTCCCTGTTCCACCGCAGAGAATCAACAAGACCCTAAACTCAAATTCTGGGCTTCACCAGTCAAAATCTGCCAGTGCACTTCCTGTCACCAACAGCGGTACAGCCCATCAGACAGGTAACGACAGACACACACACACACTGTGTAAATGTTAATTTTGTCAAATGTTATCATCTTTATACACATATTTATAACTGCACATAGTGACCAGTAACAATGTTTACCTATATTTACATTATATACACATATGTGTGTTTATATATGTCTATATATGTGTATATATATATATATATATACTGTATGTATATATGTCTATATGTATGTAT